GTGGACCCCCAGGTCTCAAGAGGATGCATGAATGAGTGAATGACCTGCAAGTCCCTTAGGCTCCCTTCATTCATTCACCCAACAGTGTGCACAGGGACCTCACTGTTTACCTGGCTCCATTCAGGTGCTGCAGGTACAGCAGTGAGAAAACTGTCTCCACACTTCTTGAACTCACCTCGTGGGTGAGAGTGGTGCCACTCCCCACCTGAGTCTTGATCTTGAGCGGTTCACCTGGGCATATGTCACTCTCTGGGGGTCTTCATCATAGGGGCCCTGCTGGAGGTGGACAGATGGACAGAAACAATGTCTCCCTGATCCCAGTGCTGACCTCCTCCAGTCAACTGTCCACACTATTACAGAGTGAGGTCACTTCCTGATGGAATCCTCAGGAAAATAAACTAAGGAAAAGGGATAGAGTGTGTGGGGGTGTAGCAGAAGAAACAGCAGATGCAAATGTCCTGAGGCAGCAACATGCTTTTTCAGGAAGATGGGCCATGTGACTGGAGCAAATGAGTGAGCAATAGTGTGTTAGGATAAGAATCAGACCGGTAGAAAGCATCCAGATGTCCAAGGCTCAGGACGTCCCTGAAGATTCCATCAGGAAGTGACCTCACTCTGCAACAGTGTGGACAGTTGACTGGAGGAGGTCAGCACTGAGATCAGGGAGACATTGTTTCTGTCCGTCTGTCCACCTCCAGCAGGACCCCCATGATGAAGACCCCCAGAGAATGACATATGCCCAGGTGAACCGCTCAAGATCAAGACTCAGATGGGGAGTGGCAACCTCTCCTTCCCCCCTGTCAGAGGAATCACTGGACATGAAGGACAGACAAGCAGAAGAGGACAGACAGATGGACAGACAGGTGGGTCCCATCCTCTCCAGGCCCCCAGGCTGCCCCCACCCCAACCACACACCTATCCCCCACTCTCCCCCTGCTCTAGGCTGCTGTATCTGAAGACCCCCAGGACATGACCTACGCACAGCTGAACCACTTGACCCTTAGATGGAAGACAACACCCCCTTCCTCCCAGTCAGAGGATCCCCCAGCAGAGCCCAGCGTGTATGCTGCTCTGGCCATCCACTAGCCCAGGAAGGACCCAGAGCCCCACCCTCCAGGGACGAAGGCTGCAGGGACCCCAGAAGGCACAGGAGCTGCCCCAATGGACACCTCCTAATGACCCCCAGCAAGCCTGGACTCCTAACATGGGCCACAAGGAGCTTATGGGACAATTTGGGACTCACTTGGTTCTGTAGTCAAAGATAACTAATACCCCCACATTTTGGAAATAAAGCAACAGACTTCTCAGTAATCCATGAGTGAAATAAGAAATCCAAACCAGAAGTGAGAGAATGTTTTAAATAGGATGGTAATGTAAATATTACACAATCAAACCTATGAAATGGGAAAACTGAGAACCATGAATGAATATATTAGAAAAGAAAAAGCCTAAAAAATCAATGATCTAAGGTATTACATCAGTAATTTAGAAAAAATAGCAAATTAATCTAAATGAAGGTAGAAGAAGGGAAGTAATAAGTCCAGCTACTAATGAGGACAAAAAACATATACAGAAAAATCAACAAAGCCGAAAATGTTCATTCTTGAAAACATTAGTCAAACTTACCATATCTAGTCACAGTGCCCCATAAAAAAAGAAAGGCACACATTTCTAATATAAGGAATGAAATTGTAGATGGCACTACAGATCCTATAGACTTTCAAAAGATAGTAACAGAACATTAAAAACAATTTGATGCAAGCATATGATAAAAATTAGATAAAATGGATATAAGAATAAAGAGAAAATATGTATCACCTTATGTGTACATTAAATACATTGACTCTGTAATCAAAAATAGTCCCACAACTGAACTGGGACTGTAAAAAGATCAGAGAGAAATAGAGAGTAGAATGGAGGTTACTGGGGTGGGGGTTGGGGGAATGGGGATAAATTGGTCAAAGGGCACAAAATTCCAGTTATGAGATTAAGAAGTCCTGGGGATCAAATGTACAGCATGGTGATTATAGCTAATCAGACTGTATCATATTATTGAGTGCTGCTAGGAGAGTAGACCCTAAATGTTCTCAGTACAAAAAAGAAATGGAAGCTCTGTGAGGGGATGCAGGTTTTAGCTAATGCTATGGTGGTAATCATTTTGCGATATATAAGTGTATCAGTTCAGGAGCTTCACTGGTGATTTCTTCGAAACAGTTATGCACTTAGGAAACACACACATACAAACACCCCAAACATAGACAAAAATTTTCTTAGAATAGAAAAAGGAGAAATACACCCCAAATCAACCTAGGAAAATATAGACACCAAAACCTGACAAGGAAATCACAAAATGAGAAGATCTCTCCATGAACAAAGATGTAAATCACTAAACAAAATATTCACAAGTAAGATTCAGAGATATATAAAAAGGACATTACATCATTACATCATGACCACACTGAGGTTTTTTTTTTTTTTTTTTTGGAAGGATAGAGTAGCTTAAAATTTTAAAAATCAATCAATATAATCCAACACATTAGCAGAATAAGTAAAAAAAAATGATCATTTGATAGATGCAGGCAAAGCTTTTGATAAAATACACCAACAATTCATAATGAAAATAAAAACTCATCAGAAATAAAAGGGAATTTCCTATGAGTTGTAAAGCCGTGTTTAAAAATCAACACTAGACCTCATTTTTAATGGTGAGAACCTGAAGTCGTTCCCCCATGATGGGAGTTATCCACGTGTGTCCCTGTGAGCACGTCCGGTCAGCACGGCCCTGGAGGAACCAACCAACTAAATAAAACAAATCAAAGTGATAGGCACTGAAATGGGTAAGAATAATATTATATTACTCAGATTACACTGTTTTATGCATAGAAAATCCAAAATAATATAAAGATGTATTACTCAAATTAGAAAAGAATTTTCCCATATCACTGGATACATGATCAATGTATAGAAATTAATTACACTTCAGACTTCCGGTTCTGGATTGAGATGAAGTAGACGAATGTGTCCCTATTCCTTCCCTTTATATCACTGAGCCTGATTTTATACTTCTAACCTCCAGAATTGTAAGGGAGTAAATCTATGCTGTTTTACGCCACTAAGATTGTGCTATTTTGTGACAGCAGCAGTTGGAAACTAATACAGGCACTTAAATTTTCTTTAGATTAGTGTTTGTATAGTACATTTATTATCTTTCTACTTTGTTAATATGGCAAAATACACATGACATAAACTTTAGCATTTTAACCGTATTAAAGTGTGCAATTCAGTGGTATTAAATTAAATTTGCCATGTTGGTCGATCATCACCACTGTCCATTTACAGAGCATTTTCATTATCCCAAACAGAAGCTCTTTACAATAACTCCCTATGTCCCCTTACCACCAGCCCCTAGTGATCTCTCTTCTACTTCCTGTCTCTAGGATTTGGCTATTCTAGGCTTTTCATATAAGTGGAATCCCACAATATATGACCTTTTGTGTCTGGCTTGTTTCACTTAGCATAATGTTTCCAAGGATCACCCATTTTGTTTATTCATTTACTTTTAAACGATTTTAATCATTATATTAGAATGGAATATTTTCTGGATTGCATATAGTAGGGTCTTATTTGTGGTTGTTTTTTCTTAAACTAATTTTATAATCTCTGCCTTTTAATAGCTGTGTATAGACCATTTATATGTAATACAATTACAATTAGATTGTTATTTAGATTTAAAATTGCATTTTATTTTTTTTTCTGTTTCTCTCTTCTATTGTTTGTTCTTCTATTTTCCCTTCCATATCATTTCTTGACTTTAAAAAATATTTTTAATATTCTATTTTAATTTCTCTCTTGATGTTTTAACTATACCTCCTTGAATGCTGTCTACATGGCTGTGCTAGATATTATCATATACACACTTGACTTTACACAGTCAAGTTAGAGTTAGTATTTTGCTCTTCAAGTGAAAGGTAGAAACCTTGCAAATATATAGGTCTCTTTATCCTCACTGTTTTACGTTGTACTTGTTACATGTATTATTTCTACATACTCTTTCAGGGCTGTGTGGGGGTCCACGGGACCAGCAATAGGTGGGAGGGTCCTCCCCCAGACCTCCTGCTTCAGCTCAATGAATCCCTCTTGGCAGCTGGGGAGAGCACGGAGGGTCCGGACCAGTCTGGGAGGGGCCTTGAGTGACAGCTGGGGAAGCTGAGGGGAAGGACACCCGTGCCACTGCGAGGCTGATTCCTTTCAAGGAGTCACCCTCCAGTCCTCTTCTGGGCCCACCCAGCCCTCATGGTCACCAAGGGAAGCCCTGTGACAATCTGGTGTCAGGGGTCTCTGCACGCTGATGTCTACCACCTGTATAAAGGGAGTCCTTCTAGCGGATGCAGGGACCCCACAGCTCTCTAGTGATAAGGCCAATTTCTTCATCAAATCCAAGAGCTCATCAGTGTGCATATCACAGCTGGAAGGGCCGGTCAGAGTGCAGCGACCCCCTGCCGCTGTTGGTGACAGGTAAGGGGGAGGAGCCTGGTCCCATCCCACTATGGGGTCCTCCTCACAGGCAGAAGGGAACAGAGTGTGGGCTCAGGGGGACCTCAACCCTCACAGTCCTCACTTGGTGTATGTGGGCTAACTGTCCCCCCTTTTACCACACCTCCACCCTTCTCCCTCAGGAGTATATGGTACATCTCATTTTGCTTTTTTCTTATAAATAACCCTATATAGACCAAAAACTGAATGAGTAATTGTAGGTTATGTTGATTGTGGTATTCATTGCTCCTAGGTTGATTTTCTAGTGTTGTAGATATCGCATTGTGTGTTTTTAAAAACAATAGATCGATAGATAGAAGAAAGGAATGTGACATGGGGATACACAATCCTGAGTCAGAGACAGAAAGGAGTAGGCTGAGGTGGAGGAACTAAAAGGTAGACCCAATCCTTCACTCCTTCATGTTCCTGATTCTCAGGACAAAATGAAGCCCCGAATGTTCTTCTTTGTCTCCTAATTAGTCAGAAGAGGAGACCCTGGAGATGCTCACCTCAAGCTGTTGAGATTGGCATTAGCTGGTTGTAGAGACTCATTGGAGATCAGAGAAGAGATTACCTAAGCATTCCTAAGTCTCCTCATCCACAGTCTCTGTTTCTGGCTCTTAGGAGTAGCTGATACCCTCAGACCATCACAAAACAAGTCAGACTCCAAGAGGAATGAGTAAGGAGAAATTCTCAGTATGGGGCGGGGTACAGAGGGTCAAGTCCTATCAACATAAGGCAGGTGCCCTGGATGAACACAGAGGTATCCTGAGGTGATTTCAGTCTGCCCTGACCACTGTGATCTCTACATCTTCAATCTCTAGCCTCAAACAACCAAGATTACACGTGGATAATCTCATCCGGATGGGCATGTCTGCCTTCATCATGATGGTTCTCAGGGTGCTGCTATTTCAAGCTCAGCACAGTCAGAGAATAATCCAACATCCATAAAACACAAAAAATACATAAATTAGAATAAGGAAGATGGTGGTATATCTCTACTATGGAATATCATATGACACTGCAAACTCACAGATTAAATCTACAAAGAAGAATGTATATAGATTTTCAGACACAGTGATGAGTAAATGAAAGATTGTCAAAAGGAGGCAAGCAGGGCCATTTCATTACATAAAGGTCAGAAAGAGATGTCATTTGTCATTATGTAGGCATGCCTAAGATAAACCCAATAAGTAAAAGAAGTGAATGAACCCCACAAAATCCTTTTAATGGTTAAATAGAATGCAATGTCGAAAGGTTTATTCAAAATGGAAGACACAGGGACTGCTGGAAATCTGGTGATGTTCTTCTTGACCTTCACTGGTGACTCATGAGTCCAATTTTCATACTGGTAAACACTGCATTTCTATTTTGTGACCTCTCTTTGTTTTCCATACAATTTACTGAGCTGGGATTGAAGTAGGGGGTGCAATCTACAGCCTGAACTAGGCTTTGAACTTCCAACAAAGTGGCTGTTGATGTGTTAGATATTAGATATGTCACATCATGGCAACGTGATTTCCTCAAAACATCACCACCACCTGCCTGATTAGCCTCACAAAGTCCACTCAAACAATGGGTCCCTGCCTGGGGGAGAAAATGGGCCTCAGAAAACACCTTTCCCAGTATCGCTTGACATGCAACTGAAAAATTTAAATGGCCACTGGAAT